CAGCGGCAGTGAGAGGCTTCACCAGAGACAGAGTGGGGAGCAGATCGACGAAGTACATTGCTGAAGGGAGCAGCGGGCAGGTCAGGAGAGTTCTGCCATGCCATATGGATCTCCTCCAGAGCAGGCAGGGATCAAACTCATGAGGAAGTGGCTTAATCTTAGTGCAGTGCTTTAACTGCTGTGCCACCAGGGAGGGCCAGGTATATTTATTTTTAAATGTTGTTTTTGATTCTGTTGTAAATGGAATTATTTTCTTTTTAAGATATTTCTTTGGTAATGTGTAGAAATGTTACTGATTTGTGTTAATTTTGTATCCTGCAACTTTCCTGAATTTTATGAGACCTAACAGCTTTTAGGATTTTATATATATACATAAAAATCATGGCATCTGCAAATAAAGGTAGTTTTACTTCTTCCTTTCTAATTCTCTTGCATTCTATTTCTTTTTCTTCTCTGATTATTCTGACAGAACTTCCAGTGCTTTATTGAATAAGAGTGGTGACAGTTAGCATCCTTGTCTTGTTCCTCCCTTAAAGAAAAAAAATACTCAATTTTTCACTATTAAGTCTGATGTTAGCTGTAGGCTTGTCATACATGGTCTTTCTGAGATACATTCTGCCTATACCAATTGATAAATTATTTGTATGTGTAAAAGCACAGAAATGTGCCAAGAGAAATTTCAGATGACTTAAGTAAATGGAAAGATATGGCATGTCTATGGATTAGAAAACAATGATAACACTTGCCCAAAGGAATGTACAGATTGAATATAAACTTTTAACAAAATTCCAGTGACTTTTTTTTGCAGGTTTTTCTTCATATTCATAATGGAGTTGTTCAGGTTCCCAAATAGTGTTAAAAATAATAACAAAGTAGGAGCATTAACATATCAATTTTAAACCTACTATAAAGAAGTAGTGGTCAAAACAGTGAATTCTCATGAGAGTAAATACATAAAGTGATGGTAGACAAGTGAGAGTTCAGAAATGAATGTATGCTTATAGAGAAGTATTGACCATACATCTATGGTCAAGTTATTTTCAGCAGTGATGTCAGTGAGGAAAGAATATTCTCTTCAATAAGCAGTGCTGAGACAACTGGATATATCCACATGTAAAAGAGTGAAATTAGATCCCTACTTCATAGTCTATACAAATTTTTCTGACATGAATCAAACACCTAAATATAACAGCTACAACTCTATGAAATGTGTAAGGGAAAAAGGAGTAATTCTTTATGATTTTAGATCTGGCAGTGTAGTCTTAGACACCAAATAAACAGCAGTAAAAATTAGATAAAGTTAATATTATTGAAATTTAAAACTTGTACATAAAGAAAAATTATGAAAGAAAGGGAAAGGCAACCTGCAGATTGCCTGTATCTATTAAGATTTAGTATCCACAATATAAATGACAACCCAGTTAAAATTTAGCAAATGACTTGAATACACATTTCTCCAAAGAAGGTAGGCAGACAGACAAAATATATGGCATGATGCTCAGCCTCATTAGTCATTAGGGAAATGTAAATCACAACCACGTTACTCTCACAGGACAGCTATAATCAAAATAACAAGCATTGGTAAGAATATAGAGAATTTAGAACCCCTGTATATTGTTGATGAGCATATAAATTACATAACTGCTGTTTAGTGGTTCCTCAAAATATTACAGTTATTACATGATCTAGCAATTCTACATATATATATGTATGTATGTATATATGGGGGGGGGGGGTGTATACACCACTAAAGAAAACAGGAACTCAGATGCTTATATGTGAATTTTTATGCCAGCACTATTCTTAGAAGCCAGGTGGAAACAGCCCAAATGCCATCAGTGTTTGAATAGAATCATAAATGTGGAATAGCCACACAATTGAAGGTTACTCCTCCATAAAAAGGAATGAAGTACCTCATCCGTGCTATAACCTGAAAGTTCCTCACTAAACATGAGGGGTGAACAAAATCAGTTGTAAAAGATCACATATTACAATCTACTGTCTATAGGATATATCCAAAAGGTGTAAAATCCATAGACAGAAGACAAATTGATAGTTATCAGGGTTTTGGAGGTAACTTTTTTTTTCTTTAAAGATTTATTTATTTATGCATACAGAATGGGGTACAGGCCAGAGGTGCAGGGGCATGAGAGGATTCACCAGAGACAGAATGGGGAGCAGAACAGGCAGATAAACAAAGTACACTGCTGAGTGGAGCATTGGGTGGGCCAGGAGAGGTCTGTCACACCATGTGATCACCTCCAGGGCGGGCGGGGATTGAACTCATGCTGGAGTGACTTTAGCTTCTTAGTGCTGTGCTTTAACCCACTGCGCCACCAGGGAGGGTCCCATAACATAGGTTTTATTGAATCTATGAGTCCCTGCTCATACCAGAAAACAAAGTTGGGGTATAAGATAGGGAAATAATAGTAAATTTTTTTTTTTCAAATAATATGGGCTTATATTTGCATAAGTTTCAGAGGTAGAGTTTTAGACTTCAACACCTGTATATTCAATATTCTGATAACGACTAAAAGTCTATTTCCCACCTGACACCTTTGCAATTGACCTGTTTACTCATTATCCTCCTTCTCCCACCCCCCAGCATCTGTCCCCTCTGTTAATCACAGTTCTTTTGTCAATATGTTTGGTTTGGTTTTGTATGTTTATTTTCTTTATTACTTTATTTTCAACATATGAATGAAATCATAGAGTATTTGTTTTTCTCTGTCAGACTGACTTGGCATAAACCACTCAAGGTTCTTCAATATTGTTGCAAGTGACAAGCTTCTATCTTTCCATAACTGAGTAGCAGTATTCCATCGTATATTTATAGCATTTCTTTGCCCTCCATCCATTTGTTTAAGGGTAGGTTGTCCCTTTATCTTGGCTACTGTAATTCATACTGTCACAAATTTCAGGAAAACATCTTTTCAAATTATTGTTTTCCTATTTACACAAATGCCTAGTTGAGAAATAGCTGGATCCTATCATGATTCTTAGTTGTTTGAGAAATCTCCATACCATTTTCTGTTGTGGCTGTACCAATTTATATTCCCACCAACAATATATATAAGGGTTCCCTTTACTCCGCAACCTCATCAACACTTGTTATTTCTTGTCTTTTTGATAATAGCCATTTTAACAGGTGTGAGGTAAAGAAGCTTCTTAGTATCAAAAGGAGAATGCTTTCTTAGTAAATTTACATTTCTTAGGAGCTACATCAAAAACAGGTGAAAATATTTGTTTTATTTAACCAACATGTAATAAAAATGAAAGTTATTAGCATATTATTTTACATTGTGGGGTTTTTTTTTTTTGTACTAAGCCTTTGAAATTCAAAGTGTATTTTATACTTAACAGCACATCTCAGTACAGACTAGCCACTTTTCAGTTGCTTGATAGCCAGCCACAAGTTAAATTCAGAAGCAGTAGATGTCACAGAAAAGAAAAAGATATTGGCTAAGGATAAACAATTGTATTTTTAAAAAAGGATAAAAGCAGTATGAGAGAATAATTGCATCATGATAATATGGTACAGTGTTGTTAATATGCAAACAGTTTACACAAATCACTAAGAACACTTAAGACTCCATAAATTAAGATGACAGTTTATGAAAGAGCTAAAAATAAACAGATAGCCTTTAACTTATTTGTAATAAAAGAAGTACAGATTAAAACAGTAATAACCTTTCATCTGTCAAGGCAGCAAAGATATTTAAGGAGAATAAACTGCCTTTTAAAAAAGCAGTTTAACAGCACACAAAAAATTTAATTATAGAAGTGGAACACTGCATATCAAAATGCTCACCTTAGCACTGTTTGTAACGGAAAAACTGAAGATTTAAATTGAGAAAATGGTTAAAGGGGGGCTCTCCCCAGTGGCACAGTGGTTTAAAGTGCAGCATATCATACTATCTGAAGCCACTGCAGCACAAGTTAGATCCCAGGCCAGGGAGGTAACCCATTTGGTATGCAGACCTCTCCTGACCCATCTACTACTCGCCTCGGCAGTGTATTTCAGTCAGTCTGCCTGTTCTGCTCCCTACTCTGTCTCTGGTGATTGAATTTTCTCACCATCCTTCCCACACCCCTGGCCCACAACACAGTTCTTGTGTGTGTAAATAAGTAAATCTTAAAAAAAGAAAGAAAGAAAGTGATTAAAGGAAAAAGGAAAGGAGGTGGATAAATCAGGAAAAGGGCAACAATGATATGGTGAAAGATAGGACTTTTAACATGAACATAATGTAATATGAGGTATGTATACATGTTGATTTTTAACAGTGATCACCCAAAACTTATATGTTATAGTGCAAGGTTACTTCAAACAAGAGACTATTTAAGTAGTTAATGGCATAGTCATTTGTTAAAATACTTTTCAGCAATAATATAGAAAAATCTTTATGTAATAATAATAATATTGAATATCATCTGTCTTAAAGGGAGAAAGTGGAACCAATACATAGAGAAGAAAATTAAAAATTTATCAGAATGTTAATAGTGTTTATTTTAGGATAAGAATGACTTCATTCCCACCCCTCCTCGTTTCCTGTTTTTCAAATGTCATAAAATTTGTGTGCTTTCTATATAATGAAAACTATTATAAATGGTAGTATTAATTTAATGCATTCTCTGGAGTAGTTTGAGATGTCATAATTATTGAAGTATGTTCATTTCACGCTATATATACTTAAAAAAAAAAAAAGACACTGCATTGCAGCTGAGAAGCCAAGCATAGATGAGCCAATATTCTATAGTTTAACTCCATCTTTGTTTCAAAGTTCAGTTCATAAATATTTAATTAAAGCTTGTCATTCTCTGGTTCTTTATTGTTTACTTTTGGCTTAAAATTCCTCCAGAGTGAAGGAGTCTTTTTTTTAACATGTGTAATTCCCATTTTCTTTTTTAGTTTTAAATAGCTCACAACTACTCTTTTGCCCTTGATATATTTGATTTGCTCTACTGTTATTTTAACTGATACTTTTCCCCCTCATTTTAAGGTTATTCTGGTACAAGTTAACCCAGGGGAAGCATTTACAATAAGAAGAGAAGATGGACAGTATCAGTGCATTACAGGTAAGAATGATAACTTACTATTGTTTGAAATAAGACAAAAATGTAGGACTCATTCAGGTTTGTATGTGTTTGTGGTTCCTCTTCTTCACTACCATCAAGACAGAAAGTCTGAATACTTTATGACTGGACTATAGTGTGCTAATGAGTTTCTTTGCCCTGGTATTCTTTTTTTTAAGATTGATTTAATTATGCATACAGAACTGGGGTACAGGCCAGAGATGTAGGGGCCATAAGAGGCTTCACCAGAGGCAGAGTGGAGAGCAGAACAGGCAGATCGATGAAGTACACTGCCGAGGGGAGCAGTAGGCGGGTCAGAAGAGGTCTGCTGCGCCATGTGGATCACCTCCAGGGCAGGCGGGGATCAAACTTATGCTGAAGTGGCTTAAGCTTCTTAGTGCTGTGCTTTAACCCGCTGTGCCACCAGGGAGGGCTCTTTGCTCTGGTTTTTTGATTAGTCTTAGTATAAAATTATTTTGTTTATGTCATTTCCTCGCTTAAAAATCTTCATTGAACCCACGTTAGGATTTTAACTAATAACACTAATGTAACTTGTCTACACTTAACGTGTTCATTACTATTTTCATGTGAACTCAAAATACAGAAACTGCTGGCCCTCCCTGGTGGCGCAGCTGGTTAAAGCATAGCACTGAGAATCTAAAGCCGCTTCTGCATGAGTTCGATTCCCGCCTGCCCTGGAGGTGACCACATGGTGTGGCAGACCTCTCCTGACCCGCCCGCTGCTCCCCTCAGCAGTGTACTTTGTCAGTCTGCCTGTTCTGTTCCCCACTCTGTCTCTGGTGAAGCCTCTCATCACCCCTGAGCCTCTAGCCTGTACCTCAGTTCTGTATGCATAAATAAATAAATCTTAAAAAAAAAAATTTCTTTAAAAAAAAAATACAGAAACTGCTAATGACTGGTGGATAACTAGACTCTGAATTTTAAAAGTACTAACCAGCATTCATTAGTCAGACCCCTACCCTAACCCTCACCCTACCCCAACCCATCTTCTTCCCGTCTGTAATCTCAGTTCTGTTGTTCACTGGTTTGTTTCTGTTTTATCTCTTTATCTACTGTTTCTTTATATTTGAGATCATCCCATTTTTTTTTTCTCCTGCTAATTTTGCTTCACTTAACCCCTTCATTATTTCTGTTTTGCTGCAAGTAGGAGGGGTTTGGGGTTTTTTTCCTTTTTCAATGGCTGTATGTTATTCTCTTGTATTTATACATTTTCTTTATCCAGTCATCTGTCATGGGCCCTTAAGTTGTTTTTATACCTTAACTATTACAAATAATGCTACAGTAAATATGGTGATATATATAACTTTACAAGTAGATGATTTCATATACTTTGGTTAGTTACCCAAAAGGGGAATTCCTGGGTTATATGTAGCTATATTTTTAGCTTTTGGAGGCTTAATCTTAGCTTTTTGAGGCTTTTCCAGTTTTCTTTTTGTGGTTTATTTCTAGTGTTGTAATTGAAAAAATACTTGGTATGAGTTTAGTCTTTAGAGTTTATGCAACCAATTGTTTTGTGTCCCAATGTGTTTTTTTTTTCCTTGATAATGTTCCATGTGCACTTGAGAAAAATACAAATTTTGTTATTTGGGCATGGAATGTTATAATTGTCTATTAAGCCCATCTGGTCTAGATCATCATTTGAGGCTACATTTCCCTTATCTGTTCTTTGTGGTTGATCTGTCCATGTTTGTGAGTGTTAAAATCCCCTATTATTATTGTGTTGCTGTTGGTATTTCTAGTTGTATTGATAATTGCTTTATGTATATTTATTTACCATTATTTGGTGCATATATATTAATGTGTTATATCTTCCTGTTATATTGAACACTTAGTCATAGCAGAATAGGGGGCAGAACAGATAGATCTACTGGAATACATTGCTGAGGGGGGAGCAGCACGCAAGACAGGAGAGGTCTGCTGCACCATATGGATTAAGCTCCCTGGCCATGGATGGAACTCATGCTGCTGTGGCTGAGTATAGCTTCATATTGCTGAGACTTAACCCCCTTGTACCACCAGGGAGTACCAATCCATGTCTTTAAACTAATGAATTAAGACCATTAATATCTAGGGCAACTATTGGAATATTAAGTATTTATTGTCACTTTCTTATTTGCTTTTTTGTTTGTTTTTGCACTTTGTCTTTGTTCTCTTGTTTTCTCTTACTCTTTTTCCTTGTGCTTAGGTATCTTCCTTTTTGTGTTATGTTTAAATTCCCTAATTTCTTATGTGTTTCATCTATAAATTTTTGTTTTGAAGTTTTCATTAAATTTATATGAAAGGTCCTATACTTAAACCTATTGAGTGGATTGATCTCAAGCTCATTCTGATATTCCACATTTTTACTCTTTCCCACCCTCTTCCCCACCTAGAGGCAACAACAACAACAAAAAAAAATCATGCAGTGTGGTGGAAGGATGGGGAAGACTCAAAATAAAGCAGTAGTTAAACATATGGTACCTGGGTTTGAGTTCCAGCTTTGCTGCTTACTATTTTGTCACTCAGATAATATTAAGCAACTAGGTGATTTTTTTTTTTAATATTCTGTCTTGTTTGTATGAGTATAATGTTTGTGTATGTGTCCATCATGTAGGAGTTGGAGTTTAATTAGTTTTAGAAATTATTAGGCCATCTCTTTGGACCTACTGTTTACATCTTTGGGCTATAAAGCACCATATATCTTTATTAGAAAGTGAGATAAATATTTGATCATTAGGCATTGCCAGTCTTAAGCTTTGTCTTAGTATCCGGGACTTTGTTCCCTAGGTGTCTGTACATCTGTAGTCAATAACTTTGACAAAAAAAAAATGATAATTTTACAAAATGTTCAGTTCTCAGAAAGTTACCATGGACTAATAAATGTCGGTCTCAAAATAAAGATCTGTTGAAAAATTATAGGCCAAAAACAATAGGGTAGAATTCAGTAGGAGTAGTGAATATTAAAGTTCTACATTTGATTTGAAAAATATTATTGCATTGGAATTGTATGGATATGAACTAGTCAGAGTTCCTTTTGAAATTGATTCTTCTTGATTAAATACAGAAGTAATTTATTTATGATACTGACACACTCCCTCCTCTTCTTAACATTTAATACAATACAGACAGTTGTCTTAAATATGATAGGATTATTATAGTGAAATACCATGAACTGGGTAGCTTATAAACAACATAAGTTTTGGAGGTTGCCCCTATTTATAGGAAATGCATACTGAAGTAACTCGTGATGATAAAGTAATGATGTCAGCATCTTACCAGTGATTCTTTACGTTGACTAGATGTGCAACTTTTTGTAAGTTGTGATTGTTTCAAAATTTTTGTGAAACATTATTTTACGAAAATGATAATGGGTGTCTCAAAGATATTTGGAAGAACAAGAGAACTAGATCCAAGGTTAAGCTGCTGGGGTAGTTCCCAGAAATCATACTGTTGAACTGATCTAAATATGAAATCAGTTCCATGATTGTACCCATATACTTTCTTTACTAAGAACTTAGTGTAACTTACTTCGAGTGTATGTCACTTCAGCAGCAATAATCATGTAGTTGCCCCAGGCTGCCTCCTAGATTATCAGCAAGGTAGTCTTTACCTTTCATCATAGTCACACAAAGGGACTTCATATCTTATACACCAATACAAATGACAGTATCTGATAGAGTGCAAGAGGACTTAACTTTATGAATAGACATGCTTATTTCAGTAGGACTTGAGCTAATAAGAAATTGATTGAATCTTATATTTGCAAAATATTAAAATAAATGAAATATTGGAATGTGAGCTCAAAGCAGGCAGTGGGATACTCTGGTTGAATGCTCTCCTTTTAATGTTTTGTTTTTTTTTTTAAAAAGATTTATTTATGGCCCTCCCTGGTGGTGCAGCGGGTTAAAGCACTGCACTGAGAAGCTAAAGCCACTTCCGCA